ACCTTTCCTGCTGCAACTTAAGGCAAATTCCTTTTGTTGCATTCTCAGCGTGAATAAAAAACAGCTGACCACCGTCCTGAGATGAGAGCCCCGGATCAACTCAGATTGCTGGTTTAGTCTTTTTCCCACCCAAAATAAGCATTCCATCTCTCCATGGTGTGCTTCATTGTCAAGTTTTTAATCATGTGACCTCACTTTTTCACTCTCTTATGTACCTACAAGGAGGTTTCAAAACTTTCAGGAAAAAATATCTCTTTAAATTCCATTTTCCTACTAACTTTATGAAGCCCACTTGTATGCAGGCACTTAGTATCAGTGAAACTGGAAACATTGCTCTACTGCTCTTGGAAAAAACAAATTCCTTTCTCTACCTCACTTTGTACTCATTTCGCACAGAAAAAGACTCAAATATTTGGTCCCTCTGAGCTTCTCTTACAAATGATAACTTAAGGAAAACATACTTTACCAAGGATAACAAGATGCAAGCAATTTAGCCAGCAAATCTCTGACTTGAAGTTATCTAGGAAAACTTGACTGTAGGACTGGTAGTTTGGGATTAGTCCATGAAAAGTGGCAGGCACATAAGAGAGGTGGATTTTGATGATGCAGGTATAGCAAAGGAATGTGAACAGGACTTTCTCTCCATGGCCCACAGATAATATGCATTATCTACCTGAAACCCCTATTACTCATTGTTGAGACTTCTCTACAAATGAACATGATATGCAATAATTGTTTGATTGTGAACCAAAAGTTAGATAGTTTAAACCCACCCTGTAGCTCTGTGAAAGAAACATCTGATGATCTGTTGCCAACAAAATCCAATGGAGCAGTTCTACTCTCTGTCACATGGGGTCATACCACAAAAACAAGTAGACTCCTAGTTTGGAGAAATGTCTTTCCGCAGTGAGACTCCTCTTATCAAGTAGCATATTTGAGGTAGTAAAAATGTACTACATGTATTGATACAATTCCACTACATGCATTGCTACAAACTAATAGAAACCTTTATTAAATAAAACATATCAAAATGTGAAGCTATTGGTTCTCAACATATCCTCAATCTAGGTGTTCTGAAGGTGTTTCCATTTCTCTAACCCTTCCTCCAAATAATTCTGTTCTCTTCCATTTGCACCATGTTAAAATGGCAGTTTTGGCATCCTCAAGGAATTAAATTATGTTCCTTTTAAATGTTCTTTGAGTTTAGGGAACAAAAACAAGTGTAAATGGACAAGACCAAGGATATAGGATTGATGGGGTAAAGTTTTCCAAAGAAATTCTTGTTGAATTGTCCTTGCTACCTTCAAAAAATGAGGAGACATATTATCATGATGGGGGAAAAAACAAACAAACAAAAAAAACCCTTAGTGAAACTTTCTTGGCCTCTTTATCAACAATGTGTTTTTCAATTCTTTGAAGATTTCTTCATAATAAGCCTCATGGTCATCCTATGTGTATCAAGAAAATCTATCAAGATTTCCCCTCTGGAATCCAAAAAACCAGTCATCACAACCTTCTGAACTGACCTCTGCCTTGAATTTAACTGGCCCTGTAGGTTCCTTTAGAAGCCACTATTTTGATTGGGGAAAAAATGTTTTTTGAAGGCACCCTGATGAGACTAAAACAAGTGTATTACTGACAGAACTGATGGCAGAAACATGTTTAAGCACGTTTTGTTTAAAATAAACCTCAGCATGCGTAATCTGGAACATTAATAGCAATATATATTTTTTTTTACTTTTTGTTGGTGTTGTTAGGTGCTCTGGAGTTGGTTCTGACTCATAGAGACCCTGTAAAGTGTTTCTGAGGTTGTAAATTTTTGTGGGAGCAGAAAGCCTCTCTCCTGAGGAGCAGTTGGTGGGGTTTTCAGTCCAATGCTTATCCTACAGAATGACTGTGCTCCCTATTTTTATTTTATTTTATTTTTTTTACTTTTTGTTAAGTACACTTGAGTTATATAGTTTATAATTGGGTTTTCAAAGAGCAGGTGATGGATTTGAACCATCGACCTTTCTGTTAGCTTTGTTATTATTAAGTGCCATTGAGTGGGTTCAAATTTGTAGCAACCCTGTATAGGGCTTCCAGGCAGCAGCTGATAAATTTGAACTGCCAATCTTGTGGTTCAAAGCGACCTTGCGGTCCAATGTTTTACCTCACAGTGCCACACTAGTAGGACTCCTTTCTGTTAGCAGTTCAGTGCTTATCCCATAGCACCACACCAGGAATCCTTTCTAATAAATAGCCTGGCCATTCTATTCTGATCTTTCTGCTTCAGACATAGCCTCAAAAAAAGAAGGAAAAATCTGTTAAAAATCTGTCTAAGCACTTTTCTCCTCATTTTATGCTACCTCTGTCCTTCAGAAGTTTCTCTTTCTCTTGCATATCTCCACATTTGAACTTGCCCCAAGCCCTCAAACACCAGAAATCCTCTCTTGATGTAGTCACTCAAAGGGCTTCATTTGCCTTTTGTATCTAGGTGACTCTTATGGTGGTTGTGTGCCATGGAGTCAGTTCTGACTCATATTGACCCCGTATGAGGTTTCTGAAGTTGTACATATTTATGGGAGCAGAAAGCTTCATTTTTCTCCCAAAGAGCGGCTGGTGGATTCAAACATTTGACTTTGTGAACCCACTATGACACCAGAGTTCCCCTAAAAGACTCTTGTTGTTGTTGTTGTTATGTGCCTTGGAGTCGGAACCGACTCATAGCGACCCTGTAAAGGGTTTCTGAGGGTGTAAATCTTTACGGGAGTAGAAAGCCTCATCTTTCTCCCGCGGAGCAGCTGGTTGTTTCGAACTGCTGACCTTGCGGTTCACAGCCCGAGTCGTAACCACTACGCTACCAGAGCTCCTCTAAAAGGCTCTAAGAATGCCTATATTCACTCTCTGACCTAAGTCTTTTCTTTCAAAATCCTCAGATTTCATTCTTTCTGAACCTCTTTCTAGGCTTTCTCTTTCCTCCTTCCTCTTCTACTATGGAGTAGAAAAATCAACTGTGCTGGGTAAATTTGTTTATTTCCATCTATTCATCTTGAATTGGTGATAGTCACAGCAAAAAAGATATTAAATGACAGAAAGTCAGAGAATAAGGAGAGAGAGGAAAACCAACCAAAGCAATCTACAACCTATAAGATCAGCTCTAAATAATACAGTTGGCAGAGAAATCTCATAAAAAAGAACCTCCAATCATGTCATGGCTATTTCCTTTCTCTAGGATTTGAAGTTAGAATGGTGAGACCTGGAATGATTTCCCCAAATTTACCTTCCCTGAAAAAAATTCTCACAGAGGTTCCCATCTGTCTCCGGCTTTGGAGAGTGAGTGCCAACTAGAAATCTTCATGCTGATTTCTATTCTGACTGAACAGATGCTGTTGCATTCAGTGACCAACTGGTTGGATAGAAGTCTTATCTCACACCCTCAACCAGTTAGAAATTACACTATCAGCCAGCCCTGGCTGCACACTATTGGGTCCTATCAATGTTGGACTAACTGGTAAAGCTTCTGCCCACACCCTAAGGTTCATATCCCAGACCTGTTACTGTTTTCCAATAATTCCTCTACACACAATTTCACTTGGGAGTAAAAAACCACCATAAATGACCACCTCCATCCAGTTAATGTGATAAATATGAGAACAAAGTGATCTGAATGCTTCTTAGCCACTTAGAATAGTTGGGAGGCAGAATGGTATATTAACAGCATATCTCAAAGTGGGAGCCCAAACCCTCTTGCTTCAGAATTATCTTCAGTGCTTGTTTAAGAGGCAGAATGTGACACTATTCTCAGAGTCACTGAATTATGAATCAATGGGAATATGCACATCAAAAATCCCCAGATGATTCTGATGAGAATTAATATTTGAGAAATACAGATTTAGTGGGAAAGAATCCAGATTCTTGAGGCAGATCTGTAATGTGGTACTGAGATCTGGCCCTTACAAGCTATGTGAATTTGAACAGATCACTTTAAACCTTCACATTTCAGGTTCATCTATAAAACAGAGACATAAAGTTGTAAAGGTTACTCAAAGTAACATCTCTGGGATACCTAGCATTAGGATAAGTGTAAATTCTCCTTTTCTGAGAGTCTTGCAGAAGTAATAAAGATACTTTCCTAAGAAGTAGAACACCACACCTTCTTTTACTCCTCCCCTAGGCTTCTTTTTATCAGTTTCCCACCACAAAATGGAGCCACTTGGTCCATTGTACTTTTCAAGAATGAATTCATACTTTATTTCAGGACCTTCTGGAAATCATTGTGTTTGGCCCATAGTAGGAACTCATAAATATTTAGTAAATGAATGTGATCTTTTCTTTCCAGCCCTGCTGGCTTCATCACTTGCATTTCAATTTAATCCTACCACCTTATGTTGTTGTTGTTAAGTGCCGTCGAGTCAGTTCCGACCCATAGAGACCCTGAACAGGGTTTCCGAGGCTGTAAATCTTTATGGGAGTAGATAGCCTCATCTTTCTCCCACGGAACCGCTGGTAGTTTCGAACTGCTGACCTTGTGGTTTGCAGCGTGATTCGTAACCACTACGCTACCAGAGTTCCTCCTTATGGCAGTTCCATAACCCCAATTCAGGCAAGTCTAAGGGATTAACCTACCATATTAACAATCAGAATTCACTTTTACTTTCTGTAGACATGTCAGACCCAAATACCTCCCTCCACTCCTAGAGACATGCACTTCCTCTCCTCCTGTTACAGACTCCCATGGGAAAACAAATTGGCACTTAACCCTTAGCATTGCAAACTTTGGCAATATGAAAGGTGAATCCAGTCCTGGTTCCTTTCAGCCTCTGAGCAAATAACAGACAATGAGGAAGAAGAACTGTGCGAGGCTGCCCTTGGGAAGAAAACAGCTTCTCCAAGCTATGAGATGAAAGGACAGGAAGCCTGAGAGAGGAAAGCAAGAAAGAGGGGGTTGAGCAAGGGGAGAGCAAAGCAATTTCTCATGCAGCTGCTTCAACTGTATTTGGCCCGAGTTGCAATTTTACCTTCTGACCAGGAAAGCTGACTGACTTGTTCCCTCTCTTCGGGGCTCAGGTCTGAGAAACAACTTCCCCACAGCTTGTCAGTCGGGGATGGGAATCCCAGCTGCTCTTTGCAGTGACGCCCGAAAACCTTGCTTTACCTTTGGGAGAGCGGGGCGGAGTCCAACCTAATGGGAATTAACTCCAAACACGCTGGAGGCTTTAAATCCAGCCTCAGACACACAGGCACTTGGAGAAGAAAGTAGTGCTGCCGGCAGAGTCCTCCACCTTCAACTTCACAGTTCAAGTGTGGTCTGTCTTCATTAGTAAAGGAGCTTCAAAAAATTGGTGGACAGATGGAATTGAAAGATAATGGAATTTTTTCATGAACATTTTGAACACCCCTCATACATATTAAAGGAGCTTTGGTAGCATAGTGGTTACTAATCGGGCTGCGAACCTTGAGGTCAGCAGTTTGAAACTACAGCTGTTCCGCGGGAGAAAGATGAGGCTTTCTGCTCCCGTAAAGATTTACAGCCTCGGAGACCCTGTACAGGGTCGCTATGAGTCAGAACCGACTAAACGGCACATAACAACAACAACAAAATACATATTAGGTAGCAGATCTGTGTGGCTAGAAAAAAAAACACAAGAAACAAACAGAATCATCTCTTTTTCCCCCGAACCAATTTCCACTGTCTGATGGGGAAGATGCTCCAACATATAACAAGTTCACATTTTAAGAAGCCATTGAAATCACATATTGAGAGGGTTAAATAAGATATGTAATGCACTAACAGTATTACTGCTAGTACATAACAATACTACTAAAATTCAACATTTAACTTTGTTCAAAGTACCAATAACTAATTTTACGCTTGGGAAAAAAACTGAAAGGTCTGGAAGTTAAGAAGTTTTGACTGATGCTGTGCTGAAATCTGATGTCTGACTGACACTGGTTGTTGTTGTTAAGTGCCATTGAGTCTTTTCTGACTCATAGCGACCCTGTTATGGGATTTCTGAGGAGCAGCTAGAACCACTGACTTTGCTATTCAAACTGAAATTCCAGTCTGGTGCTCATCCTACAGCACCACACTGGTACTCCATAATTATTTTGGAAAATGTAATTCTAAAGGAGCCCTGGTAGTGCAGTGATTAAATGCTCACCTACCAACCAAAAGTCAGGGGCATTTGAACCTGCCAGACACTTTTACAGAGAACTCACCATGTATTTCAATAAAGAATGGTGGTGGTGATTGTGTGGCACTGAGTCAGGACTGACTCCATGACACTTAACTACAACCACTTTCTCTTTACTCAAAAGTAACCCAAAAGTCTTTTCTGTGTCTCATTTTTTTATCCTAGATACCTTTTTTAAGCAAGGGACTTTGGAAGAAGGAATGATGACTAGCTTAACTCAGTAAAGTATACTGGAATGATCCAAAGTATCATTATTTCTGTAATGATCCAGTTGCCTACCCACAATAGTATAGAAGTTAAAAGTCCTGTTCCCTAGCATTTTGTGACAGCAATAAAAAATATCAGAGTAAATGAATCATCAGTTTAACAAATTTACTATACACTGATTATTTAATGAAGTTGCTGATATTTCTCTTGCCTGCTCTGCTGTTTTGTTTTTGATTTTTAAATCAGTGATATAACATTATATTCATGCATGCATTTGACTAGTTACTTTCCATCAGCAGTATTTTTATTATTTTTTTTAAAGTTTTTATTGTGAATTATGTGATAGTTTACATATGAGAACATTATCTTTACATTCATCCTATTGTATTTCATTTCATTCCAATGATTACAACCCCCTGCATGCATCATCAAACAACCAAAGGGTACACCCTGCATACCTGCCCCCTGGCTGTTAGCACATAGCCCCTCTCCCTCCCTGAGTCTAGAGTCCCCAGCCATTCCTTCTCTCCACTTCATCTTCTTTGCCTCCATCTCTAGCATCACTGCTTCTCTGTATAGGGTCCCGCACTTCGCTTTTCTCCCTTGATGGTTTCAGGGACCTCCGCTCCTGGACTGCAAAATCAACCACTCCCCTCCATTTGTTACAAAACGTCTGCCTTTACCTTTCCAACACTCACAGTCAGTCCTGATAGCAATCATTCCCTGTTGAACCAAAAGAATTGTATCCCTATCACCTTTCATCAGCCCTGGTACAGACAGGTTAAAAACCACTCAGTGGAGATTCTACCTTTCCCCTTAACCTCTGGAACTAAGTTCCCTATTGAAAGCTTGTAAGCCAGTCACTTCTTGCCTTTGAAGCCTCCCCATTTTGGGTGGTTGTTGTTGTTATGTGCCATCGAGTCTGAGGCACCGACTCATAGTGACCCTATGCACAGCAGAAAGAAACACTGCCCGATCCTGGGCCAACCTCACTACTGTTGCCACACTTGAGTCCATGGTTGTTGACACCTGGCCAATCCATCTCATTGGGGGTCTTCCTCTTTTTCTCTGACCCTCCATCTTACCAAACATGATATCCTTCTCCAGTGACTGTTCCCTCCTGACAATATGTCCAAAGTATGAGGGACGAAGTTTGGCCATCTTGGCCTCTAAGGAGCACTCTGGCTGCACTTCTTCCAAAACAGATCTATTGGTTCTTTGGCAGCCCATGGCATTTTTATATTCTCCTCCAACACCATAATTCAAAGGCATCAATTCTTCTATGATCTTCCTTATTCACTGTCCAGATTTTGCATCCATTTTGGGTAGCCAATGTCTAAGTTGCCCATCCTTGTTGACCCTGTATACCAAGGGGGTGGGAATGATACTCACCATAAAGATTTGTTCCCTCTTTGGTCTACTACATCCACAAGCATAGGTCAAGTTCATCAAATTGTAGTGAATTACCCCTTTTTTTTCCCCTCTTCTTTCTTCCTCCAGTCAAGTTCTGATCATCCAGCCATTGAAGCCAGGTCAAGTGGGTACTATCTGCAAGTGTAGGAGTTATTGTGCATCTCCCCTAACTTCATATCAGCTGGACACTTCACATTCCGCTCAAGTCCTCTATGGCCGTGTCCCTGTCCCTGGGCCCAGGAGCCCCATGTCTCATTATACTGCTGGCCAACCAGGTCTCAATCCAGGTTAATAGGAATCTATTGAATGTGGACGTACTTAGCTAAAAACTTCATTGCTATTTTTCCCCAACTTCACCTTATCCATGGCCAACTTGGTCAGCAGCAAGACCACATGCCTGCTTGTGTATTCCCCTTGAGTTTTAGTTTATTAAGGGTGTTTGCCTTGAGGGATCCTGACCTTGATGGCTCCCTGGGGAACAACGTGCTTGTTCTTGTAGTAGTCAATGAGATTGTTGTTATTGTGTTTGATTTTTTCTGCTGGTCTTTATTTCAAGAAGTATCTTCTGTTCTTCTAGCTGCTCCAGGCTGGTCTGCTTGTCCTTTCAAGTGGGAATTTCCCACCTCAGGAAATTCTGAATGGGGATCAGGATTCCCTGATAGTCTTCTGCAATGCAAGGGATCCACAGAAAGCCTCCTTCACTGTGCAAGTTCTAGTCCCAGCTTAGGTATTTCAATCAGTTATAGGCTGAAGACGCACTTACAAGCTTTATATGGGGATATTTCTGGCTATTCCTTTCTCTCCTCTTCAAGTGTCTATTTTACAATAGTAGGTAAGGAAAACCAAGATACATAAGAAAGCCAAGCATCTTTAAATTATTTCCCCTCTTTTACCTATTCAAACCACGCCTCAATCCTTGTATCCCAGAGCCCTGATGTTCCAAGGTTGTGCTTACATCATTATTTACCGCTGTACTATTTAGCCTATGCAAACCTGCCTAACTGTTTTCCCATCTGCCTTGTTCTTCCTTTCCCCTCCCCCTTGTAGTGTATTGCCACATGCCACTACCCAAAGTATCCTGTGTCTATTCCCTACCCTGTGCTCCACCTTCCCCTCCCTCCCCTCACCCAACCCTATACACCCCAGTAACCAGCAAAAAATTTTCTTCCCTTTTAGTGTGTGTACATTTTCTTAATCTTTTACATTAATGATGATATGCAGTATTTCTCCTTTTATGACTGACTGATTTCACTCAGCATAATGTCCTCAAGAATCATCCATGTTATGCGGTGGCTTGCAGCTTCCTTGTTATTGTTCAAGGTAGCATAATATTACATTGTGTGTATGTACCAAAGTTTGTTTATCCATTTTTCCATATATGGACACTTAGGCTGTCTCCATCTTTTTGTTATTGTAAATAGTGCTGCTATGAACATTGGTGTGCATATATCTACTCATGTTATGGCTTGTATTTCTTGTGGGTAAATATCAAGTAGAGGAATTGCTGGATCATAAGGTATTTCTATTTCCAACCTTTTGAGGAAGTGCCATATTGTTTTCCAGACTTGTTGAATCATTTTGCAATCCCACCAGCAATATAGGATGGTCCCAGTCTCCCCACATTATCTTCTACTTTTTAAATCTTTGCTGTTATTGCTGGTGTAAGATGATATCTCAGGAGCTCTGGTAGCGTAGTGGTTATGAATCGGGCTGCGAAC